GCTTGTTGAAATCAAGCAAATGTAAAACAAGAGTTGTAATGAAAGCCCTTTTGAAGGTTTCAAAAGCCACATGTGTATCCATCCTAAAGCAGAATCATATGATCTTAAGAGTGGGTAGGGAAGAGGGCAATCCTTTCATGCTATGTTTGTATGTTACTTTTAGGAGGAGAGAGGAGGCGAAAGGAGGAGTTAGTGGAGTTTAACCCTCGTTTGGAAGTTAACTAATAAGGAGGGGGAAGGGTTAGGAAATTCTTTTAAACCTCCCAAAATCTTTCTAATGATAATTTTTTGAGTTTTTTCAATTATGAATGTTTTTCTCTCTCCCACTCTTGTGCTCTTTCTAGATTAAGATTCTATTTTTTCAAAATATATTGGTTTTTAAAGTGAATTTTTTTTTAAATATAAATATATATATATATATAATAAAATTTTTAATTTTAATAATTTTAATTTTTAGATAAAGAAAAATATTTAATTTTTTGTATTTTTTGAAATAAAAAAATATAAATAAAAGATATAAAAAATAATAATGTCATTTATGATTAAACCTTTAATTACTCTCTCCTCTTAATATTAAACATCTAAACAAGAGAGGAGTTTAACCTTTATTCTCTTCTCTTCCTTCCCCTTTCAAACTCTTTCATTTCCTTCCCCTTCAAACATCTAAACAAAGCCTAAGAGAAGCAAACACAGCGTTGTACTCAAGTAAAAGGTGAGCTATATTCGCAAGAATGTGGATGTATAAAAGCCTTTTTGTCAAATGATATACAAGGATTCTTTTAAAACATAACAAATTTTTTTTTCTAAATATTGTATAAAAATGAAGTTAGTTTTGACTAAAACCATATTTAAAACTAGTTTTAACTAAAACTGGATTAAAAACCAATTTTATACCAAATCTAAATTTTAAAATTGATTTTAAACAGATTTTTTAAAAAATAAAATAAAATAATTTAAAATTCAATCCATATAATTGGATTCAAAATGAATTTGGATTGGTTTTGTATAAATCCAATCCATGAACACTCCTAATTATAAAGAAGTGTAGATTTAAATTTAACCATTAAAGAATATAAAAATATATTTTAATTAAATATAATATAATATTAATATAATTTGAATAAATGAGATTTTTAAAATAGGAAAATGTGACGGTAGATAATCCATTTTGTTTGAATAGTAATTGAAAAATTTTGTAAGAAATTGTTACCTTTGAATTACTAGGACTCAAATAACAATTTCTTATGCAACTATCTACAATATTTAGTTAAAACAAACTTTAAAATCGGTTGGACTTGATTATGGATTGGACTTTTATATTTAGATCTTTTGTACACACCTATCTACAATAAATATAACACTTGAGAGACGATTATAATTTTTATTAAAGTTTAAAGAAATAATTTATTAATATTAATTCTAAAGTTAAAATTAAACATATAAAAGAAGTATATTTTTATTAAAAATATATATATTTATAATGTAATAAGTGATTTTTTTAATAAAATATCATTGTTATTAGTTGTTTGAATTTAATTTTAAAGACTAAAGTTAATATTTAAAAAATACAAAATTTTCTCTCACTGTAAATGTATACATGTATGTGTAAATTTAATTTTCTAACATGTAATTACTTGTATAAACAATTTTTTTAGTCATTATCTCTATCTACCACATTAACAAAAATTAATTTTATAACTCGTTATATAATAATTGCTTACTTTGAAGCAATTTCCATTAAAAAATTCTAAATCTTATGTTTGCAATCAAACCATGTCGGTTGCTTAGATTCACAAAGAGATCTAAATTTACATAAACACGTATTTAAATCAAAGAAACTATATAAATGTGGGACACTAAATTGAAAAAATAAATGTCATCAACTTGAAGAAAGATAAAGCAATGGGAAACCAAAATGTTATTTTGTCTCGCAATAAATGAAGCAATAACTGTATGTATAAATGGAAGAAAAACGCAGCTATATATAAAACATGATATTTCGTAAATTTCATTTTCGTATTCAATGTGCTATTAACACAACCCCACTTATAATAAGTTGAGTTGTCGTATCAAAACTGAAAACAAATACCACCACAATCCAAAAATATGGTAAAGCAATCTTATAAATTTAGATATTATTTACCAATTAAATTAAAATTTTATTTCAATAAAATATTTATATTTAGTGTTATCACCCGTTATTAAAAATAAATTAAGATGAAACTGTTACCAACAGCTAAAAAGTTTTAGTCGATTTTGGAAAAGGAAGAAGCAGTTTATTATCTCATACTTTACATTTATTATTTAAAGTATTTTAATATAAAATAAAACTTTTTTTTTTGTGGTTAAGAGTTAATATCCCATGCAGAGTACTTCTGGACATGCTTTTCCTTGTTCACATGGAATTGATGGTGATGCCGACGGCAACCAGCAAAAGCAGCACTCCCCATCAATGCGCGACAAATGGCTATCGACTTTTATACCATATTTTAATATACTAGTACAAAATTACAACAAAACTTATTTGTTTTTATATTTTTTATAAAAACAAAATGTTTTGTTTTTTCTTTGTAAAATAAAAAAATAATATTTAGTTTTAAAATAATTAAAGATACTTAAGAGAATATATTTTTATCTTTTGAAAAAATAATTATTAATCAAGAATCAATCGATAAATATGATATAATAAGATATAATAAAATATAAGAGTGAATAAAAATATAATAAGATCAAAATAGAATAAAATTTTGACAAAATAAATATATTATATTATTCTATTTAGTGTATGATAAACTTTATACCGGAGAAAAGAGTTAAATAAGTTTACATCATATTAAACGTTAAAAACTTAGAATAAAAGGATTATCGTGTCTTTTTTTCTTCTTCTTAATTTATCCACTAAATAAACTCAAAACATACATGATAAACAAATGTATATTTCTATTCATGTATATAATTATTGGTGATATTTAAAATTAACTTTTTCCATTATCTTTCTTTATTTTTTTTAAATATAATAATCACACATAACTTTAATCACCCCAATGCAATAATTATGTTATTTCATAATGCATCTGACCTTTTTTTTTTATACTTTTGAGTAATATACAATATTTATTTTCAGTATTTTAAAATTCTAATATTTTTCAGTTATTTTACAATATAATTTTTATCTAGTAAAATAATTCAACATCAACTAAATATTAAAAAGTTAGAAAATTTTCTCATCAACCCTAGACTCTATAAAATAAACCTATCTAACTAGGCTCGTTTAATTTTGTTCGATAAAATGTAAGACTTAGAGTTATATTTTAAATTTAAATTAAATTTAAATCTTTCTAACTTAATTTTATTAAACTTAATATGAGTTAAGTATATAAAAATATGTAAAAAAATAAATAAAGTTTTACCTATTTTAAATATCTATTTTACATTTGAATTAAATCCATACTTTTTTTAAATATCTATACAAACGCACATCTTATATATATTTATTGAGTCTTTGCATAAAAAATTAACATATATTATTAATTAATTAATTTTGTTAACGTGTGTCAATGATATATAATAAAAAAATTATAATATTTAATGATATAATAATATTTTTTTATTTCAATAAAAAATATTATTAATTACTCAATTTTTCTAATATAGTTTAATGATACATAATAAAAAAATTTATTAAAAATTATAATTGTTAATATTATCAATGCATTAATTTTTATAATTGTCAATAAATTTTTATTATATAATTTTATTGTGTAAATTTAAACTCATATTAACAACATTATTATTTAAAATATTCAAAAAATAAATTAGTTACATATTATTAAAATATTTTGTATTTAAATACATAAAAATGATATCAGATATAATAAACTTGTGAATACATCATAATAAAATAATTATATCAACTATTTACAAAATGCTATAATATATTTTAAGATCATTCATGAGAAAGGTATGTCTTTATTCATTATTTAAAATTAATTTAAAAAAACATTGTTAAAAATATTGAAATATTTTTAGGTGTCTAATAATTAATTTTTCAATTAATTAACTATAAAATCAGTATTGTTATGTAAGTCGGTAAATAAATAAATGAAATTATAAATGATTGGTTATTGAAGTAAAATATAACCTTAAATAGATTTTCGAAAAACAAGTTTCTTTTAAATATAATATTCTGGGAGAGAATAAAAGGATAGGAAGATATGGTAAAAATAAAATATTTTTTTTAAAGTATCTTAAAAAAGATAAAAAAAAATGAATATACTAAACAATATTTTGAAAATTTAATAAGCATTGATAATGTAATTAAAAAGTGATATATTAGATGGATGTAGTTTTAGTAAATAATATAGAGGAAGTAATTTTAAATAACAAGGAAAACTTTTGAAATACAGTGTTGTATTTTTAAAATTATATAACTCATTCAATTACAATTATTTCTATTTATAAAGAAAAAAAAAAGATGAAAGTTTTTCTCCTTCCAAAGTCTACACTTTCTTTTCACCGATTATCATTATTTAAATTTTAATATAATTTCTTAACCTGATAAAAAGTATATACTAATTTTTTTAGTAAAAATAAAATATTGATTTATAAAGACATATTAAATTTTCTAACTTTTAATAAAAAAATTATTGCATATAAACTTTTATATAGTATTAATAAAATAGTAATTATGCTTACTATTATTATTTATTTAAATTCAACTTAAAAAATTAGATTAAATGCTTTTCAAATTATAATAAAAAACTGAAATTTTTAAATCTAAAAAAACAATATTTTAAATCAATATAATCCAGACACGCCGCTGGAGTAAGCTATTATCGCCTTACGTCAACGTTAGAGGTATTAATGGGCGCAAACAAAAATCATAGGATGGAAATTTGAGGCACCACACGATTAAAAAATCCCAATCTGATGGCGTTGACTGCTACGACTCCGACTCAGCAGTGTTCTCAACACGGACGCGTCGTATGTTAGCAAAATTCATTTATAGTCTGATTCGAGTTCTCCTTCTCATTTGTCTCCCTCTCTGTCCACCCGGCTCTTTCTCTTTCCGATTGTTTTCGTTTTCTCTAAATTTCCAGAGTTTTCAAACGCCCTATTATCTCTCACCGAGATTTCAGAACGAAAAACAGAAACGAAAACTTCCTAAAATTTCTCAGTTGTCGTTTATTTCCGTTTCGATCCTCCAACGACGTGGTTTCAGCTTCGCGTTTAATTTAATCTTGCTCTGATAATCTATTCCCTGTTTTCCTCTCGGTTTGGTGCTTGATCCCCGCTTAATTCCAGGGTGCAACCGTTACACAGAGCTTTCAAACTGTTTCAATTTACCGGGAATTCGAACAAGAGATTGGTTCTTAGCTTTCTCTGTTCGAATTCTTTGGACGTTCGATTCGTTGTGTTTTTGGCGTCATTCTCACGAATTCGCAGGCTCTTCGAAATGCTGCTATCGAGAGTTATGGTGAGGATTTTGCTATATTATTTTGCAGTCACGTGGACCAATTTCTCTTTATGCTTTTTTGATATTCTGTTTTGAAGATTTTAGCCGAACCTAAACAAAGATCCTTTCTAAAACTGCATGTTATAATTTCCTCTTAGATTTTTTACTAATGCAAATTTTGAATTATGCACTTTATATCTAATGACGATTTTTTCTTAGTTCGTTTTCTTTTTTTATTTTTTAAAGTTCTGCATCTGAAATTGAATCATGATATTTGACTGGTGTGAGTTTTGTTTCTGGTTTTGGAAAATCTTACACGCTTGTTTGTTGCTCCGATTGCAGAGATTCTTTTGATGGTGAGATCCGGAAGTTCTTAAAATGGACAGCACGGAGAGATAAATTTGTAGCGTAAATTAACTTTGGACTTGGAGACTCAGCAATAATCTGAATTTGTGTAAAATCTGCTTCTACAATTATTCGCTGTGGACGGTGGACAAAATGGTTTCTGAAATCAGTTCTGTTGTTTCGAAATTGCAAATGCTATCTACTTCGGACCATGCCTCCGTTGTCTCTATGAACTTATTTGTGGCACTTCTATGTGGTTGTATTGTCATTGGCCATCTTCTTGAGGAGAATCGGTGGATGAATGAATCTATTACTGCCCTATTGATTGTTAGTGTTCACTTTCCTTGAGCTTGTTTGCCAATAAATTGTTATAAAGAATGCTATCCTTTAAGAGGCATTAAATTGATGCTAAGTTTGGGCAATAATGGATCCAGCTTCTTCTTCTTTTTGATTGGATGGTGATTAAATTTCGTATGGATTGTTTCAGGGTCTTTGCACTGGCGTGGTCATTTTGCTGTTTAGTGGTGGTACAAGCTCGCATATTCTTGTTTTCAGTGAAGATCTTTTTTTTATATACCTTCTGCCGCCTATCATATTCAATGCTGGGTAATTTTCCTTTTTTACAAACCGTAAACTGATGACAAACTGAAGCTTATTTGCAGTCATCCCAATATGATAATTGGAAAGTATTTAGAAGGTCTAGATTATCCCTGATACTATAGCATACTTTAACGAATAATGCACATCTTTATTATTTATTTATTTTTTGTTGAGAAGAACTCTTTTTCTGCAGAACCAGTCATTTCTAACATTACATACATCATGACATAGAACTTTTGGGAGCATAATCTGCAGAGTCTAGGTGTTTCAAATATACCTGATATTCAGTTGTACAAGTGACTTGCACTCTGTTCACTTGTACTTGTACTTGAGTCCTAAGTTTGTGGATTTCCCTATTTTATTATTTCAATATTATTGAAAATTATACAAAAATAAATTATACTTTTCTTCTTGGCTCTTTCTTGCAGATACCAAGTGGTTTCATCTCTTCTGAGTGATAATTATTTACGTGACTGTATAGTTAAAAGACATCAATTTTGTTTACCCATGTTATGACATGAATTGTATTATGCCGTATGAAAAACTTTGAAATCATATTATCTTTCCCTCCTAAAATCCTTGTTCTGCACTTTGAAAATGCATATATTATTCTTGTCTGTTAACTTCATCATGTGTATTACAGATTTTAGTTTTTATTTTGTTATGAATTTGTTCTCTGTAATTTATTTCAGGTTTCAGGTGAAAAAGAAACAGTTTTTTGTTAACTTCATCACGATCATGTTATTTGGTGCTATTGGTACATTAATATCTTGTACCATCGTAACTTTTGGTATGCATTACTGCTTTAAATGTATTTATTAGGTTTTTATTTAAGATTTAACATTGTAAGACAATAATTTGTAAGCTCAGACAATTAGTTCATTATAATTTGGAAGCTTTTTTTGGTTTAAAATACTTATTGATCAAGTAAAATAGATAATTAATTTAAGGAAACTGACTTCAGAGATATTTGTCTGGTTCTACTGACTTAAATTTGAGCTATTATTTCAGGTGCCACCCAAATTTTTAAGAAGTTGGATGTTGGTCCACTGGAATTAGGGGATTACCTAGGTATTTTACTTGTCAATCTCATCTGTGTGGCAATTTCATTCAGTGTAACACTTTGACTTACTAATTTATGATAATTTTCAGCAATTGGTGCAATATTTTCTGCAACAGATTCTGTTTGCACATTGCAGGTTTGAAACAATATATTTTTTGCATTCTTCCTGCAACTAAAAGGTATCACTGCTAATTACTGAAGTTATAAATGATGATGCAGGTGCTAAATCAGGATGAGACACCTTTGCTGTACAGTCTTGTGTTTGGGGAGGGTGTTGTGAATGATGCTACGTCAGTGGTGCTTTTCAATGCAATCCAAAGCTTTGACCTCAACCAACTTGACCCTACAATTGCTTTGCACTTTTCGGGCAACTTCTTGTATCTCTTTATTGCAAGCACAATGCTTGGAGTGTTGGTAAATGTCTTTCTCCCTCTATTTCTCTCATGCACACATCACATATACACCTAGTTGATTTGACTTGTGGCTCTGTTCTAATGTATCTATCTCCATCACCTTGTAGACAGGTCTACTTAGTGCTTACATTATTAAAAAGCTGTACATTGGCAGGTATCTTCTTGACATTTTTCCATTTCATAGTCTGTTCAGCAGTAACTGTGATGTTATTCCATTGTTTTGTACTATACATGCAGTTTATTCATAGTAAAATTAAGTTGTGGACTATTCTATGATAAGAATTAAAATCCCTGCTTCAGCCAATCTCAATTTAAGTATTGTCTGTTATCTAAGCCTGCAGTTTTATGATTATATTGAACTTGCTTTGATTGTTTGAACTTTGAAGTAACCTTCTATGTTGATTGGTGCATTCGGGCTTGAAACCAGAACATGAGGTTCATCATTATTGTATTTTATAATGAGGATTCATCTGGTTAACTGTTTTAAATGGAATGCTGCCATTGTAAATGAATTTATCCTACATAAATAATAACCTGAAGGAGGGATATCAGTAAAAATTAAATTGCATTAGACTTTTTGAGCATATTAGTTTCTAGTATGAATTATAAAACATACTGCATCCTTGAATTCTTGTTGGGTATGAATTGTTGTCATTTTTAGTTGTCTTAATTTTCTGTTCCTTTTTAGGGAAAAAAAGCTGCATTAGTTATCTGGGATCTCTTAATAACTTGCCATCTCTGTCTGTGTACTGTCAATTTGTGTGTTTCTATCTTGAGTGTTAGGTTTTTAGACCCTTTTTTCTGGTGAATACATAGTTTTTTAGACATATGCAGGATGATTTGAAACAACTCTTTACTTAGATTGAAAAAATTTCTCCTTAATTTCAGGCACTCTACAGATCGTGAGGTTGCTCTTATGATGCTAATGGCATACCTCTCCTACATGCTTGCTGAAGTAAGTTTTAAAGAATTTTAGTTATGTTTTCTGGATGCTCCCAACATTTGTCATTAGCATGATGCTGATGCATATACATCTTCTGCAGTTATGCTATCTGAGTGGCATTCTCACTGTATTCTTTTGTGGGATTGTTATGTCTCATTATACCTGGCATAATGTAACTGAGAGTTCAAGAATCACGACCAAGTATGTCTTTAAACCAGATTTTCTCAAGTTATGTGCATTGTCCAATTGCATACCTTAACATATATCTTTTGTCTAACTCTCACAGGCATGCTTTTGCAACATTGTCATTTGTTGCTGAGATCTTTATCTTCCTTTATGTTGGTATGGATGCCTTGGACATTGAAAAATGGAAATTTGTCAGCGATAGGTATGTCCTATGTTCTCTCTGAGACTAATTTATTGTCATTTAGACATTAACCTTTTTTGTACTGATGAAAAATGAATGGCATTCTTTCATGTCATTCTTTCCTGAAACAGTTCTTCTATTTCTTGTTATGACTGGAGAATTCTTCTATAATGCTGCTTTCTGCTTTTCTTTTTAGCAAAGTTTATCCTTCATTCTTTCCTTGCTATACTTCCTTTTGTTACAATAGAAAAACAATTCATGTGCCTTGGTGCTTCTGCAGTCCTGGAACATCTGTAGCAGCGAGTTCAGTGTTGTTGTGTTTAATACTTCTTGGAAGAGCAGCTTTTGTTTTCCCCTTATCCTTCTTATCCAACTTGGCCAAAAAATCAACGAGTGAGAAAATCACCATCAGGCAGCAAGTATGGCTAAATTTCTGTCAGTGAGTGCCCTTTTCCAGATTTCTTGTGCTACTACCAAGTTTTGCTGACTGGTTTCTCATTTTAGGTAATCATTTGGTGGGCTGGTCTTATGAGAGGTGCTGTTTCAATGGCACTTGCTTATAATCAGGTAGGAGCAACAGTGTTGATTAGGGGTTTGGGGAAAATTGAATGACAATCCACTGATTCAGCCAATAGAAAAAAAAAAAAAAAAGAATTAGTGGTCACTAAAGATAGGATCTTATAATTGATGTTGTAAAACTGATACTCTTTACTAATGCAGTTCACCATGTCGGGACATACTTCACTGCGATGCAATGCAATCATGATCACTAGCACCATCACTGTTGTACTTTTCAGCACAGTGGTAAGATATCAATTTTAGTTTCTGACATCCTTAGCTGGTTTCCATTGGTTTCTTTTCATTACAGAGGTTATTTTGCTATTGCTGCTCACTGATATTCATTCTATTAGATTAACCATTTGACTTGTTCTATATGAGATCTATAGACAGATTGATTTTTCCATTTGTGTTTAGATTCAACTTCTCCCCCAAACGAGTTGCCCACTTGCCCTACTTCGCTTTTCTGTATAACTAACACCTTCACCTGATAATACTTATGATAAATTTTTCTACAAATTGGACTCGGTTTCATATTAAAAACATTCTTTAAAGATGGTACTGACACAATTTAATTACAATTTCTCAGGTGTTTGGTTTGATGACTAAGCCACTCATAAGGCTTTTACTGCCCCATACTCCTCATCCTAAAGGCACAAACATCGCAATAAACACGGATCCATCTACTCCAAAATCAGTCACTGTACCACTTCTGGGAAGTGCCCAAGATTCTGAAGTAGATATTGATGGCCATGAAATTCATCGTCCTAGCAGCATTCGTGCCTTGCTGGCCACTCCAACACACACTGTTCATCGTTTGTGGCGCAAGTTTGATGATGCATGCATGCGTCCCGTTTTTGGTGGCAGGGGTTTTGTTCCTGTAGAACCTGGCTCACCAACTGAACGCAACGGTCATCAATGGCGTTGAAAAGAAAAGACAAGAAATATGTAATGTATTATAACTGCGTACATTTTATGGAGATCAAGCAATGCGTGTGTAAGAATCCCGTAATGAGGTTTTGTTAAGCTCTTTGGGCAGTGTGAACTGAGATGGCTGTGCACCAGAAGTCATCTCTGCGTCTCCTGTAAACTAAAATATTTGAATAGCTGAAGCTAAATTAATATTTTCTCACAAGAACAAGAAATTGTATTGGTTATGTTTTCTGTGCAGCTTCTGCCCGCCAATATTGGACTTTTAAGGTACCTTAGTAGCAAGTAGCAACACGTCTCACATTTTGTAGATGCAAACTTGACAGGATATACCATTATCCATGAATATTACAGAATCGGTGAACTTTATTTTGATTTGATTAAAGAACTTCCAGAGGCTCATCTTTTTAATTTTTAAATCCTTTCCCCCCGAGTGTCACCCGTGTTAGTCAAATAAGGATGTAATGCAATAGCATTGGCCAAACATGCTAGACAAGAGAGGTAAACAGTAAAATGCTCTGTGTTTTTCTCACCTTAGTCTCGTTCAAAGTAGCAATTGCATTTACGGGCTTGTAACCTAGCCCAAGCCAAGGTTGCAACGAACCACCTGACTGTAGGTCTAGGAGTACATAATACAATTTTTTAAATACTCTAAAACACATTTTTGGTAAGGAGGAAAACAAAAAAAAATTATGCTAAATAATTAAAAATCAGTTGGAACTTCAAAATGTTTTAAATAGCGTAATTTTTTAGGTATGATTTAATAGTTCATAGATTTTATTTTTCATATTTTAGCATTCATTTGCATATTACAAACACTCGAGCCACCCTATTTTTTAAGAGACATAATTTGTTCCAGCCAACCAAATGAGTGTTACAGTTTGAATTATTAGAAGATCAAATAAAATTTTTAACTACCTTATTGATATCATGACAAACAAATTGAGAGAGCCACCAAATGCCCATGCGATAATTAGGAATAGAAATCAAGATAGATTTTGTCAAGCAAAGTTTATTAGCTCTATTAAGTAATTTCTATTTCAAAACTATCACTCATTTGTAGAATTTCTTAAGTAAAAGAGCAAATATTATTCTATTTAGTTTACTTTTGATTAATAGAAAGTCAAGGTTGATTCTCATATAAGAAACAAAACGAAAAGAAGTGAAGGCATAGAAATTATCACGCTTTTGGTGAGGAATCCCTTTTGAACACATTGTCTTGAATTTGTCAAAGTTGATCTTAAGGTTGGAGGCATCACAAAATTTTTTGCATAATTGTGATAGCATTTTGGACCTTTGTGTTTTCACTTTTATAAAAAGAAAGACATTGTCACCAAATAAAATAAGGATGATGTTAGGGTCATTCTTGGATAAATGAATGTGCTTCCATATCCCCTACTCCACTTTCTAATTTACCAATAAAAAAAGTTTCTCCGTACAAAGAACAAAATAGCAAGGGAATAAGGATCACCTTGTTTAAGACTCCTTATTAAGTAAAAGCCTTCAAGTTAAATATCATTCTATGTAATGAATAAGAAGAAGTACACATATATTACATGATAAGAGTGTAACACCTTTATTTAATTTTTAAATAAATAGATTTCACAAAAATAGAAATAATAAAAATTTCATTCAACGGTTCCCAATATATATATTTTTGACAAAGTTTTTTAAAATAAGGGAAAGTTACAAATTTGCATCAAAATAAATGCTACAAGACTAATTTAAATACATCAAATTTCTAAATATAATTTCCTAAATTCTATAGCAATTGTATCCCTCCCGTTCACTGAGTCTGGTGCTAATCGTCTTGGTCACTTAAAAAATAAACATAAGAGTGAGTACTCTACACTATCACACGAAAGCACAGAGATTCACCTTCACACATTATACATATTTATTTCAAAATTCAATTCATGCATCAAACAACACATTTACTACTTTTCAACATTTCATACCAATTCACAAACAGGTGTGCTCACTACATCATCAAACAATCCGCAAACACGTACGCTCACTGCACGTAGCCACGCTCACTTTGACACTATGATCACAGATTCCTGATGTTTTCAACCTCAAGGATTTACTCAGTTCATACCATGGATGGTCGCTGGATAGCTCCCGCTCCATGGATACAATGTGTGCAGTATTGAGTCCTCCAAGCAAAGGTGTTAGTCACAGGCCGAGTTAGGAGGAGAGTGTGTGACATGTAGTGTACCCACGCTCATTGTTGGTGTCACCACCACTCTCTCTTTTCCAACGTATTTCTACGGCTCCCATTTTTCACATCCTCAATGTATCGCTAAACCATTCATAGTTTTTCTAACATTTCTAACACAATCATATTCAATATCAACATGCCATTTTCACACACATTTATTAACATTCCAAATCATGGTATTTGTTTTCATCAAATGGCACGTCCACACATTCCAACCACATTATAACCAACTATTTCACCACACATCGCACTCGATGTTAATCACATTGCATTCCACACAAAGTTCATATTACAATTAAATCAAAATCAAACCATTCCATCACAAACATCATTCAATCACTACCACCACTCTCTCTTTTCCAACGTATTTCTACGGCTCCCATTTTTCACATCCTCAATGTATCGCTAAATCATTCATAGTTTTTCTAACATTTCTAACACAATCATATTCAATATCAACATGCCATTTTTCACACACATTTATTCACATTCCAAATCATGGTATTTGTTTTCATCAAATGGCACGTCCACACATTCCAACCACATTATAACCAACTATTTCACCACACATCGCACTCGATGTTAATCACATTGCATTCCACACAAAGTTCATATTACAATTAAATCAAAATCAAACCATTCCATCACAAACATCATTCAATCACTACCACCACTCTCTCTTTTCCAACGTATTTCTACGGCTCCCATTTTTCACATCCTCAATGTATCGCTAAATTATTCATAGTTTTTCTAACATTTCTAACACAATCATATTCAATATCAACATGCCATTTTTCACACACATTTATTCACATTCCAAATCATGGTATTTGTTTTCATCAAATGGCACGTCCACACATTCCAACCACATTATAACCAACTATTTCACCACACATCGCACTCAATGTTAATCACATTACATTCCACACAAAGTTCATATTACAATTAAATCAAAATCAAACCATTCCATCACAAACATCATCCAATCACTACCACATCTTGTTTCACATGAAATTTCTCTTAAAATACATACTTTCCTACATTCTATCTCAACCACATTTCATTATCTAACCTTACCAACGAATTCCAAACCCAAGAGATAGGGTAAAGTCCCCCCTTACCTTGGATTGAAGACCTAATATGAATTTATGGTAGAACATGTCCCTTACATGGTGCTTCGTCCTAAGAACATGGAAAATCTTCATGAGAATTCAAAAAAACAAAGAAGAGGGATGAGAACCAAAATCCTAATCCATAAAACTTACCTCCAAGCTTCTCAAACACGATTTCAACCTTCAATCTAGCCCCCAAACAGCTTTAGAAGAAGTTTAATAGGTGAAATAAGGTTGATGGTAGAGAGAATCAAAGGGGGATGAAGAGGAAGGTGTAATGCCCCAAATTTTGCAATATTAATTATTATTATTATTATTATTATTATTATATATATATATATGTGTGTGTGTGTGTGTGTGTGTAAATGTGCATGAATGTTGGAATATGTACTTAAGTGCGTGATGAGTATTGAATGGTGATATGTATATTTATATATGTATGTGTGCGTATATGATAAATGTGGATGCTAATTTTGCATCGAAATTGACTTTTTGGACTGTTTGAAATAGGCTGAGTATATGGTGCAGGGTGTTCTCGCTGCAGCAAGAGAGTGACAGTTTGGGGTGTATTTCTGCGTGCAGTCTCGTTGTAGCGAGATTCTACAGAAACCAGGATGTTGTTTCTTCTGAGATTTTTGTTGGAGCGACAAGGAGTGTTGCTACAGCGAGAGATGCCTCGTTGTAGCAAGTGTCGCGACTAGAGGAGTATTTGAAGGGGGTTAGGGTTTGAGAAATTCATTTCTCATTCCTCTCTTCAAAATCTCTTCAGTTCTCTCGACACAAAATATTATTTCACTGATTAAATTGCCTCCAAAGCCGTTCGAGAGCTAGATCGAAGGTTGAATTTGTGTTGGTAATGCTTGGAGGTAAGTTTTAATGGTTAGGGTTTCAGTTTCTCACCTCAATTCTCTATTTTCTCAGTTTTCATTGGTTCTCATGAGATTTTTCCATGTAAATACGATAAAGTTCATGTGGGGAGTCTTTTTCATCGTTGATTCGTGCATGGGTCTTCAATTTGAGGTAAGGGAGACTCTACCCTATCTCATTATGTTTAAATGCCATGTAAATTACTACGCAATGCCAGTGGATGGTTTGGAATGTGTGTGTTTGGTAGAATTGATTATGATGAGATTGTGGTGGAAAGATTGAATAGAGTATAGTGTGTATGATGGAATAAATTGATGAATGTGAATTATGTTGAAATGTTGTGTATATGGAATAGTTGTGCGTTAAATTTAACACGACTAAATGTAGGCATTTGTGCTGTGTACTGTGAATGAATGTGGGCTTGTGTGTCATGTGAGAATGTGAATATCGTATGTAATTGAAATGTGTGTGAATGAAGCATGTTAAATGTGGTTGTGAATATGTTATGAATGGTTCAGTGATACACTGGAGGTATGGAAGATGGAGACGATAGAAATACCTTGGGGAAGAAAGAGTGGTGGTGACACCATCAGTGAACGTGAGTGCACCACATGTTACACACTCTCCTTTTGACTAGACATCTGACCAACACCTTTGTCAAACGACTCGTGATCACACACGTGGTATCTGTGATGTGGGGATAACTGACGACCATCCATGGTGTGAAACTGTGATCACAGTACCACAGTGAGCATGACTGCGTGCAGTGAGCGCACCGATTATGAATTGAAATGAATTGCTTGAAGCCGTTGCTTGTGATTGACAGTAATTAGATAGAATATGTGAGAAATACATGTGGAGTATGTGAGGTGAGTCTCTTTGTTTGTGTGTGTTGGATAGAGTAGAGTACTCACCCTTACATTTAATTTTTAGGTGACCAAGACGATCAGCACCAAGCTCAGTGAAGGAATGAATGAAACTGCTATAGGGCTTAAATTTTATCTTCAATTACGAAGTAATTGAATTGAACCTGTAGCAGTTACTGATATAAAACTTGCAATCCCTTATTATTTTTAAAACTTTGATGAAACTCTTTATTGAGAACTTATATTTAAATGAAATTTTAATTATTTTCATTTTTGTGAAATTTATTATTTTTTAAATTAAATTAAGGTGTTACA